GTCTCTTGATTCCACAATCACATTAGAATCTAGATCCAATAATCTATAAGCCTTGGAATTTTCAGCATAACCTACGAAAACACTTCTAATTCCTCTAGCTCCTCCTAACTTTGATGATTTAGGGTCAATCATTCTATAAAAAGCAAGACAGCCCCACATCCTTAAATACATCAAGTTAGGTTTTCTTCTTTTCCATACTTCATATGGAGAGACATGTGTTTTCATAGATGTAATCCTATTGTGAACATGACATGCTATAAGTAAAGCTTCCCCCCATAAATTATTAGGCAATTTAGCATTAAGAAGCATAGAGTTAATCATATCGGTAAAAATTCTATTCTTTCTTTCAGCCAAACCATTTTGTTGAGGAGTAATATGGGCTGACTTTTGGTGAATAATTCCATGCTCTTCACAGAAAGCATCAAATTCATTTGAGAAATATTCACCACCTCTATCACTTCGAACCATTTTGATTTTCTTGTCTTTTTGGTTCTCAATTTCAGCCTTATAAATTTTAAATTTATCAAAGGCTTCATCTTTTGTTCTAAGTAATTACACATAAGTGTATCTAGAACAATCATCAATAAAAGTGATAAAGTATCTCTTTCATCCTCTAGTCAAAATTCCATTATACTCACAAATATCGGTATGAATCATATCCAATATTTGAGTATTACGTTCGGCTCTAGGAAAAGGTTTCTTAGTCATCTTTGCTTGTATACAAATTTCACACTTATCATTTTTAATATCTTTGCAATTAATCAAATCATGTTTATACATATATTTCAAAGATCTAAAATTTAAGTGTGCTAAACGTGCATGCCAAACATCAAAAGAATCAATAATATAAAGAGAATTCACATCATCTTTATTATTAATACTTAGTTTGTACATGCCATCACAAGAATATCCCTTTCCCACAAAGATCTCATTCTTAGATACAATACAATTATTGCCCTCAAGTATAATCTTAAACTCATTCTTACACATAAGACTAGCGAATACAAGATTTTTCCTAATATCAGGAACATGAAGAACATTGTTCAATGTAAGCTTCTTTTCGGACGTAAAGTTAATCTCCACCACTCCTCTCCCGACAACCATTGTTGCATCATTATTCCCCATGAGAACCGTTTGTCCTTCCTTTTCCACTTTGTAAGATAAGAACATAGTCTTGTCATTACAAACGTGGATTGTGGCACCGGAATCAAGCCACCAATCAGAGGATCTAGATGCAGCCATGTTAGTTTCGGTAATAATGCCAATTTACAATTCTGAGACCATGGCACAAATGTCTTCAGATTTCTCCTCAACGGCATTGGCATTGTTGGTGTTAATTTCTTCCTTTTTCTTCTTATATCTGCAGTCATTTTAGCGATGGCCTTTCTTTCCACAAAAGAAACAATTTCCAGAAAATTTCTTTTGACCATTACCGGACTTTTTGAACTTCTTGTCATTATTGACTTTGAAATTCTTTGAAAACTTACTAGCTTCGGCAACCTTAACTTTAGAGGAATCTACATTTTTGTTCTTGGAATCACGAGACTTAGTCTCTTCTTCGATTCTCAAGTGTTTTTGTAATTCCTCCAAACTTATGTCATCTCTCCTATGAAGGAGTTTCTTTCTATAACCATTCCAACTTTGAGACAATTTAGCAATAATTGCCCCCACTTGGAATGATTCAGAAATCTCAACTTTCAATTCACGAAGCTTAGTAACAATGACTTGCAATTCATGTATTTGATCTAGAACGGACTTGGTATCAATTATGACAAATTCTAAAAATTTTAAGATGAGAAATTTGTCCGTACCTTCCTTCTCAGTTTTGTATTTGCATTCGAGAGCGTTCCAAATCTTCACCGGAGACTCTATCGAGTTGTAAAGATCGTAGAGCCTATCGGAGAGAGTGTTGAGAATATCACCCCGGCACATGATTTCATCATCTCCACGCTTCTTTCTTGCGGTCTTCAATTCTTCAGAATCATCCTCCTTTGGTTCAGAAAGTGGCTCCAATTTCGGATCAAGCACGTAGGCGATCTTAAGCACGGTGAGAAGGAAGAACAACTTTCCCTTCCAGCGGGTGAAGTTGATACCATCAAAATGATCAAGTTGAACATTAAGATTGAGGAAAGACGTCATATTCTTTTCAACCCCTATTGCAGCAAGTTTAAAACCTTAAAGATTGTTGAGAAATTCAGATTTGAGAGTATGAAAAGAATAGAGAAAGCAGAAAGTGGGTTTGAGGCATATAGAAATTCTTTCCTTTAAGGTTTTATTTATCCTCACTTCTCAAAGTTTGCTAATGAGTTTTTAATGGCAAATTACTCCCAAGATACAACAAACCCTTGAACACAATATCCAGTAAAAATATTGAGTTCTAGAACAATAATAAATATGTATTTTTTGAAGTCCATTAATTAAAGACAGGGATGCATCCATCCTTTTAAGTGTTACAACCTTTTACATAGAGATACCTTTTCAATTTTAAATGTTATCTTTTATATGCTGATGCACTTATATCAATAGTTATTTCTATTGTTAATAAGTGCTCAGATATGTGAGAAAACATATCACAAATGGATGTAATGGTTCAAGACCTTTTCAGATCACTAAAACACATGAAAACACGTTTTCCGTTAGTAATTGACGCTACAGCGGATGACATTCACGCTGCAGTGCTCGAGCTACACAAAACAGACCCAACAGGTCTGTTTTGTGCGCGCTGCAGCGCATCCGTGCGCTGCAGCGCTCGGGCTTCACAAAACAGACCCGAGAGGTCTGTTTTACGCAGGCTGCAGCACCCAAGAGGCGCGCTGCAGCGCGACCGTGCGTTGCTGCGCACGCTCCTGTGCGCTGCAGCGCACGCTCCTGCGCGCTACAGCACGCGCTTGTGCGCACCTGTTCTTCCCGAACGGGTTTTAGGCCAACTTTGTGATATCAAAATTGAGAGATATATTACAATTTCTCTAACAACATGCACATATATATACATATATATAATTACAAAGGTGACAAAGCAGTACTATCTTCTTCTGCCTTCAGAAAGGACTGCAAAAAATAAATAAAAGCAAGCATACATATTTTCCAATGTAGCTAGTTTCAGGACCTCACTAAGTTTCATTTATTATTTAAAAAGCAAATGACACGATCAAGGACTAAAGGGAAATAAGAACACTGGCTCTAAAACACCTTTTATGGCTGGTAAAGAAGTGATTTGAATAGGGAATTATGTGTTTTGCTTATAAAGCCAAAATCAGAATCATGTCAAATAAATGATTAGTGATATTGCCATCCGTATGTTAGTTTCATTCTGATCAATATTTGTGGGTGAGCACTATTCAACTTTCAGCTAGCTATAGATTGCTTTCTCCAGTTTTAAAATTAGTCTGCACACATATTTTAGTACATGAAACTAAAGTCAAAGTTTTTTTTAATGGAATAGAGTACACAGCCGATCTCATTCTGGTTCCCATCTTCATAAGTCCATAGGACACACAGTAATATATACATTATAAAAATTTCCCATTTCGGAAGATTCATGTTGTGCATCATACTCTTTAACCTACCAAAAAATATTGATTAAATTTACATATTTATTAATTTATGACCATTTATATCAATTTTCCTCCTCCTAACAACCAAGAATATTATATTTGATTTTGCCTCTTAACCAATACATAACACTATTTATCTGAATTATCCGCTGCCACGAGTTATAACTATTAATTAATAATCTCTCAATCTTGTTTTTGTTACTTGTATAGTTTTTCAGCACTTTTTTTCTTCATCAGTTGAGCACATAATAATGAATGTGTTTTGCAGTACTAGTTTCTTTACTTTTAACTGCTTAATGATTGGGAATTTCAGAGTTGTTAGCACCTAATTATAAATCTCAACGTCAATGGTAGAAAACACGACGTCGTATTTGTCTCTGGTAGCTTGACTATAAGTCTATAAGCAATTCTGATGGCGACAGAGAATATTTATCACAAGTTGCGTTTATTGTTATTGTACACAATGATGATAATGTGATTGCGTGATGTATATAAATGTCAAAACACGACTTTATCTAAAGTGCTCTAGTCAACTAACTCATTTTGTAACGTGTGAGCAATGCTTGGCTTCTTTTCTTAATTCGTGCAGTACCAATTTCTTTTTTTTCCTTTTTTTCAAAGTAGAAAATTCTAGAGTAATATGCGAAAATTTTGTACTTATAGGGTTGTGCTGTAAAACCGTTAGATTTATATTAAATTTTATAATTTTTTATTCCTTTTTCCTTTAGACGTGATCTTAATTAGATTTTTAACATTCAAAAATATGAGTATTAGGAATATCTTGCGAATAATATTAAAAGATACCAATATTATTGTACAGTATAAAATTTATGAGTGGTGCACTCTCTCTATTAGTTATAGTACTCAACACCGGTATTGTCCTCAAATATTTTTCATACCCTACCATACAAAGTCTTTTTTTTAAAAAAAAAATCATATTTCGTATTTATCTTTGTTCATGTAAATAAGCTATATAGCAAGATTATGCAAGGGAAAACTGATCCGTACCTGTCTGCAAGGACGATTACTGTACTTTTTTCGCTTCTCCTTGCAAAGTGAAGGAATTGTTTTAGAAAGACAAAATATAGGGGGTCAAAACAGAACTAGAGATTAATGGGATTAATGTTGCAGTACTAAGGAAGTAAATTAAACATGGCGGCCAACATTCAATACCACACGACTGAGAAGACTTTTTTTTCTCATTTTAAATTGTCATTCCATTATATGTCAACTTTTCCTTTGCCAAGACCAAAAGTCGCCAACTTGTTAGGTTGCATATCAAATTGAAACACAAGTTATGGAAAATGTCACAAATGTCACAGATTCAATGAGGAACAATTCAATGAAAGGTTAGCTATAAATACCGGGCACATTGTTGTCCTCACCATCTCACCACTAATTGAATAGTAGACAAGAAATAAAATACTTGTTGCTATAGAGACAACAATGGCTAGTCACAACAAAGTTCTCTTTCTTGCATTTCTTCAGCTCCTGATAGCGCTTTCTGTTGCATACCGCAGCGATCAATGTGGCTTGAAACTCGGGTTTTACAAGCGGACTTGCCCATCTGCTGAGATTGTCATTGCGGAGACTACTCATCGATTCATTTCCCTAACTTCAACTCTTGCTGCTCCTATTCTGAGGATGCACTTTCATGATTGTTGGGTCCGGGTATGTCTTTCATAATCATAACACAGCCATTCTATTGTTTTTCTTGCCTAGTATCAAGTATAAAAGTAGAAGCTCTATATGTGTCTTTGTTGGTCATATGTAATCTCTATTTATGTAATAGTAAATTAAAACTGTCACGTGATAGTATAGAAATCAGTCGGTTAAACTTTTTGTTATGTAGTCACGATGTTGTAATAGTAATAAATAACAATACTTGTTGGAAAGTAGTACTATTTAACCCGAGAGTGTTAAAAAAATAAAAATAAAAAAACCCTCTGTCGTTGAGTCAGTCAACATTTCATCACATACTGAATCTGTTGGGTGTGAGGATGATGTGTGTGTCTGTGTCAATTTGAGTTGTGCAGAATTGGCCATGTCTTATAAGTTCCATAAATACGTACAGGGATGTGATGGTTCTGTGCTACTGGATTCCACAAAGAAGAACACAGCCGAAAAAGCGGCGGCTCCGAACCTGAGACTAAAAGGATACCAAGTCATAGATGCTGCAAAATCTGCAGTAGAAAAGATATGCCCTGGTGTTGTTTCTTGTGCTGATATCCTGGCATTAGTAGCTAGAGATGCTGTGGAAACGGTAACAAAATTACAAACTCTACTCCACAATTTTGATTAATTATATGTGAAGAAACATTCAAAATTAATACAATGATTTGCCAAGTACTCCATGAACATTTTTTTTTTTTAAATGTTAAATTTCAGATTCATGGACCTTATTGGGACGTTCCCACGGGTCGAAGAGATGGAAGAGTGTCATTAGCCTCAGAGGCCTTAGCAAACTTGCTTCCTCCTTTTGCTAACATAACCCGACTCAAACTGGGGTTTGCTTCAAAGGGTTTAAGTGTTAAGGACCTAGTTGTTCTATCAGGTAATACAACTTCAAAGAAATTTTTATTGACAATTTACTCTTCTCTTACTCGATCTTGTTAGAGCACATTACTACAACTTCACACATTTTTGTGGTTTTAGGAGGACACACCATAGGGACAGCTCTCTGCTCTTCCTTCACAAACCGCTTGTACAACTTCACCGGCAAAGGCGACGCAAGAAGAAGAGGCTTATTACAATCTGATGCAGCTCTTCTTGATGATCCCGAAACGAAAGCCTATGTGGAACTCCAGGCAACCACTCATGGATCCACCTTTGCGCAAGACTTTGCGGAATCAATGGTGAATATGGGAAAGATTGGAGTCCTTACAGGCAAGGCAGGTGAAATAAGGAAGCATTGTGCTTTTGTCAACTAATTGATTTTTGATAACAAGGTTCTTTTTACTGTACTTTGTTTTTTGTTCTCAAATGGTGGCCGATTATTATTTTGCAAGTGTATATGTTTGAGTGAAAGTATATTGTGATTCCAAGTGTTCTAAAATTTGAAGCCACATTGGGTTTTCATGCCCTTAATTTTGTGATTCAATGGTGTTTCAAAAGTTCCAACAAATTCAATAAAATTTTTGGGGTCCATGTTTTTTATTTTTCGTATGTATAGTATCTGAAAAATGATACTTGAATACGTCTTATTTATAAACACATTAACGCGGGTTTGAATTAATGATTTATATGTTGCTTGCTTATCAAGGAAGGCGCTACTTCTATTCAATATTACTCTTTATAAATTGATAATGTTATTAAATCATCACTTACACGATAAAACACTAATATCGCTTGGCAAGTACGGGATCAAATACAAATGTCATTTTTTACTATTTGAGTGGTGAATTACATATGTCAACGTTACGTATTAAAGTCCGTCAAGAAATATAATTGCTAGATTAAGTAAAGAATATTTTAAAAATTTCAGTTGTACCCTAATTTTTTCCTTTTTAAGTATACTCAGTTGATTAATGCCTAAAAGTGATGGTCACAAGCGGTCAATTGTAGCACAGAAGGGCGGTCGTATCCACAGAGAAGTAACAAATAACCAAGAAAGATTAACAGAATAAGAGTGTAAGAGAAAGATAAATAACAAGTGAATTAAAGAAAAAGAAGAGTTTTTGAGATTTTGTTTGTAATAAAATAAAAAGGAGGAAATTTGTATGAAGAAAATTCAGTAGTGAAAACGGTAAGGTGTCGAGAATCCTTAATGTTTCGTTCACCAATTTAAGTTTCGATTCACAATATAAAAGAATCGAATGAATTAAATCTCTATATTGACTCTGAAAGTATTATTATTACAAGTTATCTAAAATCGACAATATATCAATTTGACAATATTACAGTAAAAGACAATTTGTGAAATAATTTGAATAACAAAACAATGCATGACAGAATTACATAAGAAAAGCGTGACTGAACTTATATAAAAAGTGGCACACAATATTTTAAAAAATAAATGAAAGATAGATGAGATTTAATTCATTCAGATATTGAACTTTACAGCACAAGTAATCAAAACCCCGAATTGGGTCACTCAACAAAAGTTCATCTCTAATCTCACCAAGAGAACTCTAGCCTAACTTGCAAAACATTCTCACAAGTTCTAGAAAGAAAATATAAGAGTGACAGCAAGACGACAGAAAACTGAATATTAAAAGCTTCTAAAAACTTTAGGCTAACCCCTCTATTTATAGTGTTCAGAGGTTGCCTGTCAAATAAGGAAATAAATAGTAAAATAAGAAAATTATAACAGAAAAGGAAACAAAAGAAAATTACACATAAATTAGGAGAAATCATATATTTAATTTGGAGAAGAAATATGGTAATTTGCTCTGATTTTTGGGGAAGAAATTCGGATTCATCTCAAGGGGACACGTGTCGAAGCTTGATTGGAGGAAAGGAATAAGGGCGCCACGTGTCGCGCGCGGAGTCAAGGAATTGTGTTGGCGCGGGCAGAATGGGGGGCAAGGTTGATAGCTGTCGCACGTGGAGAAGAGCTTGGGATGGCACGCTAACACGCGGGACCCACGTTGCTGAGGAGTTGGACGCGCTGGAGATTGCGCGGAGGAAGAACGCGAGGCCTGGGATGTTTGCATGTTGTTGACGCGCGAGGCGCGAGATGGCGCGAGAGAAAGGCGCAGGAGAATGGCTGAGCAAGCGTGGGACCCACGCCAGATTCAGCTTGTGGCTTCGACTCGGCTCTCTCTCTATGTAGCTCGGCTTGGCTGACTTAGGGTGGCCGAAAACATTGCTTTTATGGCTTCTTTTTGTGTAGCTTGTTACACTGCTTTCATCTGTAAATAAATAAGCAAAAACTAGATAAATTTTAATTAAAAATATTATGAATAAAAATAATAGAATTGTTTAATTAAAGCTTAAATATTTTAATATTATATAAATTAAAATCAGTATTTAGGGTGCATTTTCAGGCACTTATCATCAGTCTTTCAAAAATTGTGTATAAAAAAAGTATTTAAAAAATTGTAACATTAATAAAGAATTTTTTTTTTTTAAAAAAAAAACGGTTATACTCCAGGTTTTGACTTTCTAAGGGCCCGTTCACTTCGCTGATTCGAGTTTAGAATTCGAGTTGAGATGTGACTTTATGTGAGAGCTTTTTACTGTAGCAAAAAAGTTAGATGTGATTGTTTGTGAGAGCTTTTTACTGTAGAAAAACTCGAATTCTAAATTCGAATATGCGAAGTGAACAAGGCCTTAAGACTCCGAATAAACCAAAGATTGGTTATACTACTTTTTTGGAGCACTCTAATTATTTTATTTTATTTTATTTAAAAAAAGCAAATCAAATTTTAGAAGAAAATAAACAAAAGTAAAAAGGAAAAAAGAAACGAATTTTAAAAGACGAGGCTGTATGCAATTTAGGCATAAAATTGTATTTTAAAATTTGGTTTCGCCCCTGAAAAAATTTCTGGTTTGTTCACTGTTTGGATCCCTTCTCCTTGCAAAAAGAAGAAAGAAAGAAAAAAAGGTTCTCGATGATGAGTTCTCCCCAATATTAGTTTTTAATAGTGAATGCTATTACTTTAACGTCTACATATGTGTTTATCAATCATCAATATAGAAATGTTGGACAAGGAGCTTTTAACTATGGTTACTTTTAAGGAGAAATTAACATGGCTTTCACGAAATTATATTATTGCTAAAAGTAGTGTGATTTATGGCGTGGAAAGCTTTCTGGTAATATAACCTCGTCTGTAACTTGGACTTGTCTCTCTTTGCCTATTCACACACACACATATATATACATATATATATATACATACATATATATATATATATATATTGCATGCACACCAAATCCCTAACTGGGGATTCCAACAAATTTACAAAGGTGACAAAGCAGTACTATCTTCTTCTGCCTTCAGAATGGACAGCGAAGAATAAATAAAAGCAAGCATACATATTTTCCAATGTAGCTAGTTTCAGGACCTCACTAAGTTTCATTTATTATTTAAAAAATGAAATGACAGGCTAGCTAACGATGCTGGGTGCCGGCACGAAGAAACTTCCTTCTTTTTTTTTTTTTTTCTTTTTTTTTTTCCTGTCCGTTTGCTTTATTTCGCCTTGTTGTTGATTAATAACTACATGAATATCTTTTTTCTCTTGTTTAAGAAAAAAACAGGAATATCTTTAACTGAATAGGAATAATTAATTGGAAAAAGTCATAAGCAACATGCAACAATATTAAATAGATATAAAGATAAAGAATGTATATTTGCGTAGCTTTTTGATTGATATGGAATATATGTTGCATTAATAACTTTGTTATAGGATCTAAAGGGAAAAAAAAAAGATTAATCTATTGGCTTACGGAAATTAAGGGGATGTTTGGTACCTAGATTTGTTTCCTGATTTGAATTATGGTTCGTGGTTCGCTACAGTATTTTCTCTCATAAAAAATACACGTAAATTGAAAATAATTCTAATCACATGATTCTAATCCATGAACCAAACGTCTCCTAAGTTATCACTTTAACAAGATGAGTTCCACCTTTTTTCATACACGCGAGTTATAAAGTTGCTTTCACTTGCAGTCTTCATCTTGCAACAATTATGCTAGCATGGCGTGCTTGGACAAGCAATGCAAAGGAGAGGTTTAATCAACTCTTTGGTGTTAATAATAACGAATAAGGAACTTACGGATGACCATCACAAAATAAATGATTAAAAAAAACTTTGCGTAGCAAAAGAAAAAAAAAATTAAGAAAGCAGAAAAGAATTTGTAGCAGTTAGAACAATTGAAAAATACATCATGCAACGAAAAAGAATAACTGGGATACCTTTGACTAATAGTCAGCTATTAATTTATCACCAAGTTTGAGTATTTTTATAGTGAGCATTTTATCAATCATGAGTTTATTAGACCCGCCGTGGGTTCATCCAAATAATATTGATTCCTTGGTAAATAGAATTGGAATTTTGTTCTAATCCCAAGTTCAGTTTAGCGGTAAATTCACACATTTTAAGTTTTACCATTCAAATTTCCCACTGAATTTGAATTGAAGTTGTTTTTTTTCCCCACATGAAACAAAAAAAGGGACAAAAAAAAAAGAGAAGAAAAGAACTAAAAGATAAAATTTTTCCATCATGACCTGATATTACGATTGAGCTATCGTGATCTTGTTGCTATGTTCAACAATTTTCAGAAAAACACTAAATACCTCAATATTCCAGTATATATAATCAATAAATCAACACATTCTAGAAAACAAAAAAAATATATATATATATATATATATATTATGAAACAAAAAAAAAATGTAGTTATAACGTTTCGTACTTTAGCTTAACTCAAGCAATTGAGAAACAACTCATTTTGTGGAAAAAGGTTGAAAGAAACAATTCACACCGCTCCAAATTAATAAACTTAATTAGTGACTAACCAATAAAATCATGTCACGTCATATAAAAAATTTAGACTACTTTTTAACTAATTTTTTTGTACTTATCATGAAATGATGTAGTATGATTTAATTGGTTAGATACTAATTAGAATACTAAAAATTGAACATCAGATTTGGATCCCTAAATATTCTAGGGTGCACTTCAAAATTACTAGCTACTATAAGAGTTAAATGAGAATACTTTCTTGTCGTTTTTCGTCTAACGATTTTTTTTTTTTTTTGGGTAGAATTTTTTATTACACGTGGTTTGTAACATGCAGTAATTTACACATATATTCGTTACTGACTTCATTATTCATCCATGTATGTACATGCACATCTTCTTGCTTTCTTAAAAGTTAAATGAGAATATGAGATCTGCTTCGTTTGATAGTCGGCTATTTTGATCGACCCCCCATGGCTGCGTGTCGCAGCAGGTAAAGAGTACTATTTCATAATTATTGATTTATAAAAAGAGAAAACATAGATAGTTCAGCAACATGACAATAATGTATCCGTTGTAGGAGCAGGTGAATGATGTAAATACTTAATTTTATCCTTAATCCATCTAACTTTTCTGCAAAAGCAACGTAATTAGCCTTATAATTCCATCCTAAGACTCCTTGCAAAAGCAATTTCCGAACGTTTTGTATGCATATATAGATGTCATCTTGTTGACGTAATAATAACTAATTTTAGCATCACATGATCATGTGTTTTCTATACTTTTATCACGTTAAAATAGCTTTGAACGATGGTGGTTTTGTTCAGTATTATTACTGATCAAGATTTTTTTGTATGCATGCCACAAATAAAACCTAAAATTATTTTTTTTAGTAAAATTGAGATTGTTCTTTATAATGTTTCGAGATAATTTATTGCTTGGAAACTTATTATTATTGATGTTGTTACTTTGAAAAACTTATTATCATTTATATTCGTAAAATGTGGTTAAACATGATCAAGAAAAATTATGTAATTTTTTTTTGGTAAAAAAATATATATAATTAACTTTTGGTGGAAATATTATATACATTTTATTGCATCCTTTATCCTAAGCCGGCACATGTGGCACCCTGTAAATGGCAAATCTAGTCACCCTCACATCACATGATAAACCAAGAGCAACGTAAGATATCTCTAGCAATGTAATCACAAGAGTTTCGGCCCACATTTGATCCTAATTAAAGAAACATTAAGCAATCAAAGAAACACACATGTATGTATAAATATACATATGTACACACAAAATTAAACAATAGTCAAACTTACGCAAGTTTTATTTTTTATTTTTTCCTTTTTATTTCCCTAACGGTTAACATAAGATTCCCATTTAATTTAAACTGTGAGAGATTAATTAGGCCGACACAATCCTATATTACTTGTCACCAATCCATCAAAAGAGTAATATCTAATCCACGAAAAGAGGCAAAGAAAAGAGGGCCTAATATTGGAACCTACTTCCTTTGTCCTTGGGGGACGAGCCTAACTACTCTTTTTTATAACGAACCAAGATAATATTATAAAGCATTCTTTTCTTTTTTGACTAATTGAGAAGAAAATGTGAAAGAGCACTATTGATATTAAGTATTATTATTTAATAAAAAGTGAAGTCTCTTATATTATGAGATTTATTTTTTATTAGATGGTGATGCTAAATAGTATAAGTGTCTTATAGTATTACTCAATTAAGAAATATGTTTAAGTACTATACGTGATTGTAATGATTATTATATATGTTAGTTAGCTAGCTGAATTGTTTTCCTCATCCTTATTTTTCCTTTATTTTTATTTATTTAATCATATTGCTTCCTATATCTTGCCCTTCAAGTACTTCATAGATCTCTCTATATAAATCCCCTCCCTAATATCTCAGAAACCACAAGTGCATTTAAGTTGATTCTCTCCCAAACAACTAATAGTATCATTGTCTATACATATCCATTAGTATATATACATATATAGTGAATATATATATATATATATATATATATAGAATTGAGAATGAGAGGAAAATATTGTATTGGGATCATAATTTTAGGCATTTCAATCCTTCTACAAGCATCTGAAGCTCAACTGAAGAAGGGTTTCTATTCCAATAGCTGCCCAAAAGCTGAGAAAATTGTGAAGGACTATGTCAAACAGCATATCCACAATGCTCCTTCAGTAGCAGCAGCGGTCTTGAGAATGCATTTTCATGATTGCTTTGTCAGGGTTTGTCTCCAAAATCCTTAATTTGCTCAACAATATTATCTCACCTCCTATTAATTTTTCTCTTTCAATTACATGAATATATGCTTGATTAGTAGTAATTATAATCTTTTACTGTTAAAGAAGTAGTACTAATTATTATATTTTGCTTGGCTAATTTGCAGGGTTGTGATGCCTCAGTTCTTTTGAATTCAACTTCCAATAACACAGCAGAAAAAGAGGCTCCCCCAAATCAAACAGTCAGAGGATTTGGCTTCATTGACGCAATAAAAAGCCTTGTAGAAGCTAAATGCCCTGGAGTTGTTTCTTGTGCAGATATCCTCGCTTTGGCAGCCAGAGATGCCATTGTGGAAACAGTAAGATCAATAACTCAAAAAAAACTGTGTTTTTTCCTTCCAAAATCATGCCACATGTTTACTTACTCACAATTGTCCCCCCCTTTTTTTTTTTTTTTGGCATGGCCAGGGAGGTCCATTCTGGAGAGTTCCAACTGGGAGAAGAGATGGGACAGTTTCAATTAGATCAGAAGCAGCAAACAACATCCCAGCTCCAACCTCAAACTTCTCCACACTCCAAACACTTTTTGGTAATCAGGGCCTTGATCTAAAGGAATTAGTATTGCTTGCAGGTAAAGCAAAATATTGGTGTCACGCACACAACCTAGCTTCAGTAGTACTAATTACGTATGGTACTAATATGATTCTAGTATTGATATGATTCTGATATAATTTGGCGCTTGAAATAAGATAGACTAATGATGTCGCTTTTTCTTTTTTTTTATTTTTTTTCTTTTCAGGTGCTCACACAATTGGTGTAAGTCATTGCAGTTCATTCTCAACCCGGCTCTACAATTTCACCGGTGTGGGCGACCAAGACCCCGCTTTGGACAGCGAATACGCTGCGAATCTAAAGGCGAAAAAGTGCAAAAGTCTGAGCGATAACAAGACGATAGTTGAGATGGACCCCGGAAGCCGGAAGACCTTCGACCTCAGCTACTACACCCTCTTGCTCAAGAGAAGGGGTCTTTTCCAATCCGATTCAGCCTTGACCACAAACTCTGTTACGAAGTCCTACATTAAGCAGCTGCTTCAAGGATCGCTTAGCAACTACTTTTCTGAGTTTGCCAAAGCCATGGAGAAAATGGGACGAACTAAAGTCAAAACTGGCTCGGATGGTGAGATTAGGAAGCAATGTGCAGTTGTGAATAGTTAGATATATTTATTGTTCAAGTCTATGTTATTATCATTTCCATGTGTTTAATTATTCAGTGTGGTGATAATATTTTTCTTTTGTGCGGAGGAGATCAATAATCATAATCATTATATACGTATGTATCGATCAAGAGGCTTATTAATTTGCCCATGTTTTGTTAACTGTTTTTTGTATCTGCAGTGGGAATAAACAGAATTTCTTCATGATCAGTAGTTAATACTTCAGTATGATTTCTATCTTCCTTATAATGACTACAAAAACGATCGATATGGAAACTTCTTATGGAATTATGCAATAAAATGGTTGCATGAGACACCTTATGCGGTCCATGTCATATATTATTATTTATTATTTATAGGAAAGCACCAAATTATGCATATGGCTGAAACTTATCATTCACCTGTGGGCAAAATTGCATCAGCAAGTTGCCTAAAGTGACACGTGTTCTCGTGAAGATTCAATATTATGCAGCTGAATGAAGAGGCAAGGACAACTAAAAAAGAGGACTGGTTGTTAGTGATTCACCAACTACAACTAGAGAAGAGGACCTAGTTGAAAAATATATTCTTGAGAATATTGCCTTTAGCGTCTGCTTCTTTCGTGATGGGGTGTTGTTTAAGATAAATGTATAATTAGGATAACATGAGATTTTTTATTTTTTATTTTTAGTTCTTTAGGTTTTTTTTTTTTTTTTTTTTTGGATATAGGGGCAAATGGCCTTTTTTTAAGAATTTTCTAAAAAAAAAGCCAAAATTTTGTAAAATTAGCAAAATGATTGTTTATTTTATTGACTTATTGGTCATTAACTCGATTATTTTTCAATATTAATCAATATCAGTTAACAACTAATCAAAATTAATTAATAATTAATCAATTTCAATTAACAAACTACATGTTTATTAATAATAAATTATTAGTAAATTATAGTAATGAATTGGTCAATCATAATTAACCGTCAGTTAATCACTGATTGACTACCGAAAGAAATCAATCATCTTATTAAAATAATAAAAAATTGGCTATTTGTTTAAAAATAAAAAGTTTGACCATTTATTAAAAAGATCGTCAAAAACCGGTCATTTATTTGATTTTTCCTTCTTTTTTTTTAGTTTCAGATTATCTATTTAATTTTGATGTCTCAAATAATGTGTAGCTAATTATATTATGTCACGGATGTTAATGTATTCAAATATTAAAATATGAAAAAATCAATTAAAAGACATTTTAAATTTTTTAAATCACTTTACGGAATATGATTGATTATATATATTTTAGAACACCAAAATTGATTAGGAGATCTCAAATATTATTGCCGTGGATGCCCCCGAGTTAGCCGTGGTCTGATTCATGTTGCTCTTTCTGGTAGATAAAGAGAGAAAAAAGAAACCAAAAGGACGGAGTCTAAACTCTATGTCTTGGAATATGCAAAAGGCTCTATCAAAAGAAAGAAAGGGGGAAACAGAAATCTGATCACTAGTCATTAATTTAGAGCACAAAAAAAGGAAAATGATCCTCATTGGGCGGCTTCCTCTAACCGAGCGCAATTATAGCTGGTCCCAAGATTAAAGGAAAACATAGTCCAATTTAGCAGGACCATAAAAGGGAATATTTCACTCCGCCAGTGGGAAAAGTTGGCCCGTTTAGAGTTGGTTTTGTTTTTGTATTTCACGTTTTTAAAAAAAAAAAAAATTGGAGAGAAATGACATTTAACACAATTAAATATAAAAAATAGAAATGAAAATGATTTTTTAATTTAATATAAAATGAGAGAAAAATAAAAAATGAATTTTAGTCATTTTTTTTTATTTTTTGTTTCCATTTTCTCCTCTTTTGAGCGGAAAAAGAGAGACTTTAAGGGGATGTTTAGTTGGAGGATTCATACCATGATTTGAATCATGGTTCATGGTTTGTTACAGTGTTTTCTCTCACAAAAAAATACACGTAAATTGAAAATAGTTTTAATCTCATGATTCTAATCTATGAACCAAACGTCTCCTAATAGATTTTTTATATTGAAAATAATATCTTGATTAAACTATTAAACGCATTTTTAAAAATGATTTTTATCTAAGATTGAAAACATTTTCATTTTTATTTTCATACAAAAAATAAAACATTTTAGAACGAGTTTCAAACGCACCTGTTAATTTTTATAGTTAGATTAAATTTTTAACGTTCAGACTTATACAAATTTATATTAAAAATTTATAACGCGCTACACGAAACTATTTATACTGTATATTTAAAGAAAATTATTTCAATAATACAAACACAATTCCTATTAATAGAGCAAAATAGTTTACTCTACCGTAAAAACTCCCGTTATATAAACTTGTACACTTGTTTTGGTTTGGCGGTGAAACAATCTAATTATTGTTTTTTTTCTTCATTCTCGTTTTCCACCCCTGGTGCAGTAGTAAAGACCCGTAACTCTTGAGGGAGCACCCACTACTTGTTCATAACTTTGTCCTTTAAAATTAGAGGAAAAACTAAAAATACTACTTAAAATAGTAAAAAATATTATTTATATCATTCAACTTAAAAATAAAACTATGAGAAAGTACACCTCTTGCCGTAGATTTTTCCCTTTTTTTATAATTCAGGGTCATTACGCTAATTTAGTGGGAACTTTTAAATGAAGGGAAAATTTATGGTAGGGGGTGTACTTTTCCCAACTGATAGGGTGATGAATTATAATTGTTCCGTTGCTTTCCGATGGCTTAGATTAAAAAGATGCAACAAATTAACTAAAACAAAAATAGAAAAAAATGGCCAGTGTTCTTCTCTGTGCACGGCTCCACCTTCCCAACGGAGTTCCGGCATAAGTTTTTAACACCACTTATACCATCAGAAAGCTCTCGGCGAGCTGAGTTTGTTGACGTTCTGTGCGACCTCATCCTTGGCCGGAAACCGCCGCAATCGTTGACGAAAGTTCTGGAAAGCAAAAAAACTTTCAATCGCGATATCTCCGTCGTCCGAACTCTGATCACGGTGATTCTGGTTTCTATCAACCCAGAGCGATGAGACGAAGAAAACCCATCCATTTTCCCTGTTTGATTTTCACTGGAGTGCCACAGTCTAAGGTGGTCGGAGTTGTCGACGCTGTCGTTGTTGGAGTTCACATTTTCAAGCTTCGGGTTTTGACAGCACCCATACCATCAAAAAGCTCTCAGCAAGCTGAGTTTGTTGATGTGTCGTGCGACCTCCACCTTGGCTAGAAACTACTGCAATTGGTGGCGAAATTTTCAAAAAGTATTACGGAGGAAAAACCAGAAAATGGGAAATGAATTTTCCTGTATTGAATAATGTGAGAATGTTACGAGCTTAGCCTTTTATATACAAGCCTTAGGCTAAAACTAAATAACCATACTATAACAGAATGTAACATCTAACAATATCTAAAACTCCCCCTCAAGATGGACTATAAATGTCTTTTATAGCCATCTTGGACAACAAAGAAAACAAAGAACTGGCTGGCAAAGGCTTGGGAAACATATCAGCCAATTGATGTTGAGACCGAATAGGCATAAGCTTGACAAATCCAGCAACAACTTTGTCACGAACAAAATGACAATCTATCTCAATATGCTTCGTTCGTTCATGAAAAATGGGATTCGAAGCAATATGTATGGCAGCTTGACTATCACAAAATAGAAGCGTTGGAGGGGAAATAGGAACACCAAAGTCTCTTAATAATTGTTGAATCCATACTAACTCACTAGTAGTGGTAGCCAAAGCTCGGTACTCCGCTTCAGCAGAGGAACGAGAAACTGTAGATTGCTTCTTAGCTTTCCAAGATATTAAGGATTCACCAAGGAAAACACAAAACCCAGTAATGGACTTCCTGAAATCTGAACATGATGCCCAGTCAGCATCAGAGAAGGCTCGAAGCTGCAAAGAGGAAGTGGAGTTAAAAAACAAACCCTGCCCAGACCTGGATTTAAGGTATCTGAGAAGGTAATGAACGACCTGCAGGTGAGGCAAACGAGGGGTAGCCACAAACTGACTGAGCTTATGAACCGCATAGGTGATGTCCGGTCTGGATAAGGTGAGGTAAAGCTGCCGGCCTATATGACGTCTGTACTGAGAAGCTTCGGGAAGAAGATCACCCTCTGCAACATTAAGGTGAAGTTTAGGATCCATAGGAACTGAGACTGGTTTGGAAGCCAAAAATCCAGTGTCTTCAAGAAGTTGCAATGTGTAATGTCACTGAGATAAAATAATTCCAGAGGAGGAACGAGCAATCTCAAGACTAAGGAAATACTTCAAACTTCCAAGATCTTTCAACTTGAATTGCGTGTGTAGAAAAAGCTTCAACTGCTGAACGGCATCAAGTGAAGGACTTGTAATGACTGTGTCATCCACGTACACCAGTAAAGCAACAAAGGTTGTACCCGAGCCTTTGGTGAAAAGAGAATAATCAGACTTAGATTGAGTAAAACCAAAATTAATCAAGGCAAGAGAAAACTTGGAGTACCATTGACGTGAGGCCTGTTTAAAGCCATATATGGACTTATGCAACCTGCAAACCAACCTGTCAGCAGAATTCAAAGACTCCCCCTTTTAACATAACCGAGGGGAAGGTCTATGTATACCTCTTCGGATAAATCGCCATTCAAAAATGCATTGTTGACATCCAACTGAGCTAAATGCCATTTTTGGTTGGAAGCCAAAGCTAAAAGGAGCTTGACAGTAACAAGTTTTGCAACTGGCAAAAAAGTGTCGATGAAATCAACACCCTCTTGATGATTATAGCCTTTAGCAACTAAACGAGCTTTATAGCGCTCGATAGAGCCATCTGACTTGCATTTGATCTTATCCGTCCATTTACAACCAATAGAATGCTTACCCGGTGGAAGAGAGACAACTGACCAGGTTTGGTTGGATTCCATGGCAGCAAGCTCAAGTTGCATAGCCTCGCGCCAATGCTGGAAGGGAATAGCCTGATGATAAAACTGAGGCTCCACGTGGGAAGAAATACTCATGACAAAGGTTTTATGCGGGGAAGAAAGAGACTCATATGAAACATGATTGGACAAAGGGTATAAGGCAGTGGAGCCAAGGACTTATGGTTGAGAATGGAGAAGGTTGCAGTGATACTCTTGTAGATAAGATGGGACTCTAGTGACCCGGGAAGATCTCCTAACAGATGGTGTGGAGTTACAATCAGAAGTGGAAGATTAGGAGAAGCTAGGAGACAAGGATGTAGAAGCTGGAAAATCAGGGGCTGGAGAAAGGTAGAACTAGTTCAGGAAATGGATCTACCACCTGATTAGCATAAGTCACGGAATGAAAAGGAAAAGTGGATTCATGAAAAATAACATCTCTGGAAACAAAGAACTGCTTGGTTTGAATATCATAGAGCTTGTACCCCTTTACACCAGATGGGTATCCAACAAAAACACAAGTACGAGCTTGAGGATCAAACTTGGTATGATGAGCAGATAGAGTGGATGCAAAAGCAAAACAACCAAAAACTCTAAGAGAAGAGTATTCAACAGCATCTTTATACAACAGTTCATAAGGAGATTTATGTCCAAGAAGTGGGGAAGGGGTTCGGTTGATTAAGTAAGTGGCAGTAAGAACACATTCACTCCAAAAATTTTCTGGAACTCGAGATTGAAAAAACAAGGCACGAGCAACATTCAAAAGGTGCTGATGTTTTCTTTCAACTACTGAGTTCTGTTGTGGTGTATCAACACAAGAATATTGATGTAAATCCCCTTGACTACTGAAAAATGCATTGAAATCCAACTCCTTTGCATTATCAGACCAGAAACTCTTGATTTTACTACGAAACTGAGTGTCAATCATAGTAAAAAACTTGGGAATAGCTGTTGCAACATCAGATTTTTGTCTCATCATAAAAACCCAGGTAAATCTAGTGCAATTATCCACAATAGTCAAAAAATATCTATAGCCAAAACAGGCAGACACATGATAAGGACCCCATACATCACAATAAATCAGATCAAAGGGAGATGAAGATATACGATTATTAGAGATAAAAGGCAACCGTCTTTGTTTAGCTAAAGAACAAATGTAACAAATGTCATTGAGATTACACTTGGAAAAATCGCATTTCAACTGAGATTTCAATGAGTGTAATATGCTAGAAAAAATATCTAGTTGGCGTTTGCGTGCTTTTTTTTCTCTGATATTGTCTTTGAATAAATGTAGCAATAATCATGCGTGTGAGTATTTATTCTTGTTTAGTAGTCTTTCATTGTTTTTTGACCTTTTGTTGATTTTCATCTAACAGTCACAATTTTCACCTTACAGGGAGGAGAAAGTACATCCCCTACCACATAATTTCCTTGAAGGAAAAAAGAAAAAAGAAACATGTCTATCTTAGCTCTCTATATAGTTTTACATTCCTCTCTTAGAATTATGTCTTTCACTAGCTGATATATAATGGAAGAAAGTGAAGGCAAAAATAATAGAAAAATGCATCAATCTTTTATTACGACGGCATTCTTCAACATTTCCCTTTTTATAAATCTATAAATTTAATAAATTTTTAGAAAAAAGAAACTTGTCGTTTTGGCCAGAAAAATATACGCTTAAATAATCTTAACAAATACCCTTTAAAAATATTTTATTTCTTAATTCACAAATTTTTTTAGTCAAATAATATTTATCAAGCCTTCTTACTAGTAAATTCTCTATGTTTTCTTTAGGGTCGAGCCCATTTTAGCTTCCGAAAGACCCAAAACATTAGAACCGGGCCATTACTTCAGCCCAGCCGTCACTGAAATACGAAGCCCAAACGCAACAAAACACGCACGCACAAGTCGCACAGTCACATCCAACAAACCCTAGATTCTTTCGATACCGCCTATATAAACACGAACCTGCTCTTTGGCTTTCGCAATCTCCCTCTTTCACCTCCTCTGCCCGGCGCCCCTGCTTTCTTCGTTTGAATTTTCTCTGGAAAGGATTAAGGATTAAGAGTCTTTCTTTTCGTATCAAATTTTATGCCGCTTTTTTTAGTTTCTTCTCTTTTGTTTCATCTCATTTGGTTTTTAGGATTTAGATTTTTGATTTTCATTTTTTATATTGTTTGTTTGGTATGAGAAGAGTGTGGTGATGAGGCAATTTTCGTGGACTAGAGTTTCTGATCTGGGTCTTACCCAGAAGTTGATTACGAAACCCTTGGCTGTCTGAGCACACTTCTTTATACCAGCAATTTCTTATCAACCCCTTCAAAGTGTTTTCTTTTTCATATTAAATAAAGGTTGGGTATTTTTTTAGACGTGTTTTTTCTTCAAATTATCCGATTCACTTTTTCCTGGGATGACCGACTCTATTGTTTTGTATTATTATATGGCTTTTAAAATTGGCTTATGATGATAATTTAATTATCTTAGCGGATTTCAGTGAGATTTTATTGTCAATGATCTGATTGTTACACACACTGAAGCCTCATTATTCGAATTTTTCTGTTTTTTTTATTGATTTAGTATTTTTTTTGTGGGACGGTAGATGCTATGATGAGACGAAGCACTTGGTTGTGTTGAGGGGCAGTGGACGGGATCACTTAATTGTGTTCTCGCCGTGAGCCTATTATAATTAACGACTTCTCCTTCCTCTGAGCTCTGGTTGTCCCATTTTTCAGCCAAACATTTATTTGTAAAAAAAAAAAATGTTTTTAACTCCATAAAAGTGCTGTTAATAGTAATTCAGTGAGATTTACGTGACAGATTTGAAATTGCGCCCATTACCAATTCTGGGGGATAATCGGTTCCTCTTGGCATAATGGCTAGGGCGCCATATTAGTCATGTGGCTATCCTGATCAATGTTCTTTCAATGCCATTTGATCCTGGAAACACCACGTACATTCTTCAAACTATATATGGACTTAAAACATTATATCGGTCGGAAAGTTAAATATTGTTTGATAAATTTCAACATCGACGTGAACAAAGTATGATAACAAGACAATATTTGTTTGATAGATGTTATCATCGATGTGAACACAAGGCACCAAGAATTGAATTAAAAAAATGTGATGTAGACCTCTCTTTCATGACCGGAGTTCACGTTTTAAATGATATTTATGCACTTTGTAATATCTGATCAGTGTCAGCACAATCCACAAGTGAGGTTTAATGAGGTTTTACAATGGAACTCGTCAACCTGGAGCTAGTGACATGGCAATGGAATAATTCCCGAGAATTGCACTAAGTTGAACGGGGCAAAGAATAAATCAATTCGGAAATAACGTTGCCAAAAAAAAAAAAAAGCAACCAAATAACATAACTTACAAATATGACTGACCAGATTTAAGAAATTCAAGGCCAATTAATTCTGTAACCATAATTTGGGGTCGTATAAAACAACCGTTAAAAAGTGCTAGTAGTAACTCATTAGGGGGAGTTTCTCTAGAGCTTTCAAACGTGTATGTCTACAGGAAGATAAACACTTCTCTCTGACAAAGACTCGAAAGAGTTGAGAATAGCTTCAAATTTCCCCGCCAACTGTAAAAACAAAGGTGTGTCTCGTATGCTAAATTTCACTTTACGACCATGTTACGGTCGACTTGTCTGCCCCACTGGAAAAGCATTATGGTGTTAACAAATCTGATGCTACTTGTACTTGTTGAAGTCATTGTGGCAATTACCCTTCCAAAACCCATTCCGCTATTGGAATCTGTGCTCATTTCTTGCTTGCAATATAGATGCCGGATATTATCGCCACCCCAGCAACTGCAACACCAAGAGATTTAAGGATCGTTGCACCGGAAACAGCTGCCTTTTTTGAAGGGACTTCCAAAAGATCCTTCACCTGCAATATAGGGGCAACGAACCAGTGGGACACTATTAATATCTAGAGACATAACAGGAAATCCAAACCTAAACAGGGAACTTTCCATTTTCACCTGGAGGAAAAATGACTGGTACAAAAACAATATTTAGGAAAGCAAACAACAGACCAAAATCGAAGTTAGAAATCCAAAGATCAAGGAAAGGAAAGCTAAGGGTATCTCAATTCTAACTGTTTGGTATGGACAGATTTTACTGCCAAGGTTAAATATATATGACAGTGACGAATGTAATATAGCAAGAAAATGAACAGTTCACCAACCGCAACAGGCTGCTTCCAATGCTTCTTAATTCCTTGCAGGTGCCCTTTTCCAACAACCGCGACTACTGAGTTATGCTCACTGGCAATTCTTAGTAATGAGGATGACATGTACCTGCATTATCCAATAATGTAATAGAATGAATAACGTAGTAGTGTTAAAAATGACCTAAAACTGTTCGCATATAGTCCTTTCATAAACAAGTTATTAGGAAACTGGAAAAAGAAAAATGGATGGGGGGCAAAATTGGGTCGTCTCACAATGTGTAAAAAGGCTTTTATTTTAAACTGTGGCACCCACACAAACAGAAGCAAAGAAGATTCATTTGAAAAACTTAAAGCAAACTCAAAAGACAAAGATGGAACTATCAAAGTATATATTTAATCTGAATCAGAACATTTTAAGCTGTCAACATTCTGTAAAGGACAATGCAGCAAAAAGTAATTCTAAAACAGAAACATGAATAAATACTAACTGATCTCGCTCGTGTACAAGAGTCTCCATAAGAGTGGGGAACTCCTTACTCATCTCTTGAATTACAAGAGTCAACATGTCAACATCATCCATTTCCTTTAGCTGAAGTTAAGCAAGACCAAATCACAAGCAACTACATATTAGCAACATAAAACGGAAGTCTAATTTCCAAAATACAAAAAGATAAATGTTTTCGTATGGGGAAAATAAACCAATTTTTAGGATAAATTGACGGGAAAAAGATAGCTTACCATTTTATTAAGTTCCTCGGGACTTGGTAAGAAGACCGCTTGGAAAAACATAGAGTAGAGCAGCTTAATCTTATGCCAAAGCGGCATTTTTCCCCATGTCCTTCGTAGTGTAACCTATTCCGTGCAAACATCACAGTTTTATTAAGATAGTCCTCCGGATTAAATATCAGATTCACAACACGAGTGAATAAGATGACTCTTGGAAAAAAAAAAAAAAAAAAAAAGCGCTAACAAATACCCATAATTGGAACTCGAATGGGCAGCATCAAACATTAAAATAGTAATTTAATATTCAAATGAACTCATGAAATATGGTGACCAATGTATTAAAGATTAACTCCACGTTTGTTTGCACTGATCATATCTGGTTAAATGATTTAGGTAGATCAGATCTTCACTCTGAGAACAAGAGTGTTACTCTAGATTTATGGCAAAGCAAAAGCATTGCCAGCACTTGGTTGTGGCTGACAACTAAACAGTAATTCGAAGATAGATATTTCAATTTGCTAAGATAAAATATTATTGATGGCCTGCATGGATGTTATACCACCAAATTCAAAGGAAAATGAATTTTATTTGAATTTGAAAACATAATATTATTGATGGCCTGCATGGATGTTATACCACCAAATTCAAAGGAAAATGAATGTTATTTGAATTTGAAAACATAAGTAATTGGCTATTTACAAATCAAACCTCAACACCTAAAAAGTTTCATAAGAACAAGTGCGGTAATAGGACAGGAAGGCAAAATGTTTACCTGCACAGGACGATCACCAAGTATCACTCTACCACCATATTTCATAGCTTCTTCATATGCCACACGAAACTCAGAACCAGGAAAAACCTCCAATTTATTGGCAACCTTCCAGAAAACCAGAAGAATAATAATAGCGCAACAATTGTGAAAAAACAGTTCAGTATTAAATATCTACTAGTTGCAGCTTCAAATAAGAAAATCGAAAACAAATAGTACAATATAAGATTTGGTACCTTGGCAAGAAACCAGCTATATAATATCCCAAAAGCATTCTGTTTTCGCTTCCACATTTCTACCATTTCCCCTATTGTTGGCACCTGAATAAGTGAAGTGAATATAAGAGGAACTCGAAAAGAAAAACCAAAAACCTACAACCCAAAAAGAAGCTACATTGAACAAGCAACTCCATCTAAATTAGAGTATGGATTATAGCATATCAATTCACTAAATTACAGCATCACATGTTAGCCTTAACATAATAGATCCAATTTCAATTTTCAGGTTTATTCTTTTAAAACCTAATCCAATCTGAACCAATCCGCACGAAGGCAAGCCATAAATGAAGAGGATTAATTTCAACCTATGCACACACACAAAAACATATATCTATATAGGCTTTCTGCAATTATCTAAAGTAACAACATCCCGTAATAAGGAACCAAAATGATACAAATATACAATTAATTGGAATTGCCTACTTATTCTCACCTCCTTACGGTTCTTTATACATAAATATGTGTTTGAAGATGAAGAGATACATAAAGCAAAGATCTGTGATATGAAAAGAAAAAAGAAAAAAAAAATACACACACACACACAACCAAAGAGACCCACCAACACAAACCTTTAAATTCTGCGGGGTAAGCACCGCCACTCGACTCGAACATAGTTCCAAGAAAACAACCTGCAATGCCATTTTGGAAATGAACCTAAATTCGAGGGAAAAAAACGTCTCCAAAACGAAGCGAAACCGCCAATTAATTGAAAGGGTAAACCTAAAGCACCTCCGGTTTGAGATAACTGATCACGGCTTCTACCTCTCTGCATGATTCCTGCAAAAAAAAAAAAAAAAAAAAAAAAAATTAATGACTTTGGCAATCAATTGATATCCAATACACGCAATCCACCAAGAAGGAAATCGCAAATTGCCTAATTTTCTCACCGATAAACCAGAATAGAGTTTCAATTCTAAGGATTCAAGAAACAAGTAATCAATTACCATCGAAACGTGAGCCGTTCCAACGAGGTACACGTCGCAGATGCCACGCCCGGCCAACGATTCGCATGAAAGCACCACCAGGCTCCTCGTGAGCTCCTCGGGAAGAACCGTGCTACGCTCCGAGTCCGATTCCTCCTCGGCTCCCCCGCTCGTCAATAGGGCGTCGTTGCTCTCCCTCGGCTCGTCAACGCGGACAATGCTCTCCGACAAATCCTCAGCGGTGGCGTTCTCGATGCGGACGAAGTCTTCGCCCGCGGCCGCATCGATTTCCGGCGACTGCGAGTCCATCACCGGACGGAGAGAGGCAGATCGACGAAGACCGCCGGCGACGGCGGAAGTTGTGGTTACTAGGTGGTTTCGGACGGTTGAGAATTGCCTGCGAGGAGGGAAGGTCACGGCGGTTTGGGGGCGGCGGAGAGGGAGCAAGGTGGTGAGTATGGCAGGTGACTCGGGCGAGTTGAATCGGGTGAATAGGCGAGTTAGCCGAATCATCCAAGTTTTGGCTGTGGCGGGTGGTTCTGTAATTTGGAGGCGAAAGAGAGCATGGTTAGAGTTTAGACGTGGTGGTAACTATGTTCGGTGTTTGGACACGCGTGAAACTTATGCTTTGCCTCTCCCTTGTCAATTTGTAACGCCCTTTTCCCCCCTTCGTTTGAGGATACCAAGCGGCTTGTGTTTCACAACTCAAGTTGTTTGTGAGAGAAAACGAAGTAAAAAATTGATTTTTTTAACCATTTGAATTATGCCAGGTCATGTTTTTAATTAATTTTTTAAATGTATTTAGATAATGTGATATAATATGACTGGTAAAATTAAATACTAAATCGAAGATCATAAAAAACGTTTTTTTTTTCTTTTCTCGGGAGAAAAAACATGTATTTCCTTAATTTAAGAGGCCACATTTACTTAAATAATCATTAATTTATGGATTTTTAGCATAATTGATCCCAAATTTACCGTGATTTAGTAAACTACATATTCAATTTTTAATTTTGACAATCAACCCTTTAAATTTGTTAAATTATTGCAATCTCTCTCATTGTACTAAATTTTCTCAAGTTTTTTATTATATTTAAGAGATTTAAAGTTGGAAAATTAAAAGATTTGTATTACATTTGAATCAAGATGTTGTAACTTTTCATCAAATGTGCTTTTTTCAACATTAATTTACGACAATCATCACAAAATTAAGCATATCACAATAATTTTACAAGCTGAAGTGACAACTTATTTAAATTAAAATTTTATAGGACAAATTGCTAAAACCATACAAATTCGGATGACAAATGTGTAAAATACCCTTAATTTATTTTACTACAGGTATAAGCCTCTTTAATTGATCAATATCTTCATACAAATTCATCGAGTTATATATCTATAAACTTTGTGTAATTACATTTCATCATAATCAGTAAACGAATCTTTGTTGATTGGTTTCATTTCTTGCAGATAAATTTTGGGTCAATCAATTAAGAAGTGTATGCCCGACATTTCATGATGGAGTGTCAATTAGTAAGAACCTTTGATAATACCAATTCAAGTTGTATATATTAGCTAAATGAAACAATAAAAGGCAGTTTGTAAATTTAATGCCAAAAGCCAAGAAGTTGTGTCAACATGATAGAAAAACCATGCATGTTTAACCAATTCGATTTCAACGCCAACAGATTATTTAATTTGATTCACGAAATCTAATCACAACTATGAAAAGTAATGGTAACTCATAGATGGAATGTCTCCTGGGTTTTCAAAATCACATCTCTAGAAGGAAATATACTAGTTTGTGCTTTAGTTTAGAAGTGGATTGGATTAGATTAGGGATTTGAAGTCGATAAATGAGTCAGAGTTTGTTTGATACACTAATAAAGAAAGTTAGAAATTGTGCATAGAGTAGTGTATTTTCCTTCTCTTCCAAGCATAAGTCTACTCTTCTTGATAAAATAAAGGGCCCGTTCGGTTCGCTAATTCAAGTTGAGATGTGATGTTGTGTGAAAATTTTTTACTGTAGTAAAAAAATTAGATGTGACTGTTTATGAGAGCTTTTTACTGTAGCAAAACTCGAATTCTAAACTCAAATGAGTGAAATGAACGGGACCAAAATCAACCTTCCCACATATATATTTTTCACACCTTCCTATTTGTTAACCCACCTACCAAACATGGCCTTAAGGATCGATGCAACGGAAATGGGTGGATTTTCTGGAGGGATTTCCAAAAGATCCTTCACCTGCAATATAGACCACAAAACACTGGCGATTGGATTTTGGAGGGAAGAGAGCAAGAAATCCAAAGTTGAACAGGTATATTCACATTTTCACCTAATAAAATATGACTTAGCTTTGGAAAATCAAACCACCAAAGAGAAAGCAAACTTAAATGACAAATTGAAGAGTCTTAAGAAAAGAAAAATAATGGAATGTAATTGGTTCTCCATGGCTAATAGTTTTGGTGGTCATGCAGATGACCCTTTCCAATGACTGCAACTACTGAACTTTGCTTGCTGGCACACATGTACCTGAGTTCATACAGTACAACAGAGGTGAAAAAAATGAATATCAAAGCACTCTGAAAAGTTACCAATAAAAGTGTTTGCAAATAGTCTTTTCACGACCAAGTAAAGCATACTAAGCAATGCACGAAATGGAGGAAAAAGGTGCCGATACAACGTTTCCAATATATATAATTCATTTTGAAGTGTCCACCTCCACAGAAACAAAAGAAAAGATTCGTTAGACAAACTTAAACCAAACTCAAACGACAAATATGGGTTTCAATCAAGTATGTTGTATCTTGGAATGAGGACATTCTATACCCAAATAAATAATGCATCAATAGTAACTCTAGGAGAAGAATGATAAAAGAATACTAACCCATCTCGCTCGTCTATAAAACTCTCCACAAATGTGGGGAATTCCTTCCTTATCTTTCGCATCACAGATTCCAGCTTGTCAAAACCATCCCTTTCTTCTAGCTGGAGGTAAGCGAAAATCAGATTACAAGCAACAAGCGATTGGCAAAACAAACAGAAGTCTAGTTTCAAGACTCAAAGCCATAAATATTTGAATGATGGGGATAAACAACCCTGTTTTGTCATCAACGGACGGGAAAAGTTAGGTTACCATTTTTTTAACATCGTCAAGTCTTGGTAAAAAGACTACTGGGATAAAGGTCAGCTTAATCTTATGCCAAAGTGGCATCATTCTCCATGTCCTTTTTAGTGTAATCTGCTTCACACAAACATCAAACACTAATCTTAAGAGAGTCCTTTTGTGGACAGAATTCAAATTAGAAGGTTTGACATAAAATAAATTATGTAATATGATAATGTCAAATTAAAGCATGGACTTGAGCAGAACCAGCATCTCTGGTGACTGATATAAGTAGATGAAAAGTTTACAACTATGGCAAGAGAATAGTATTGCTAAGCCCTTGATTAGGCCTGCAAATTAACGAGTCGAGAGAAACATGTCCATAGATATTTCCCATATGCAATCTGCAAAGGCAAAATCCTGTTAATAGCCTCCATGCATGTTGGACCACTTATTCCCTCTCCTACAAGGAAAATGCAACGTGATTTGGATTAATAAAGAAATGCAATCGTCGCTATAAACGTTTTTTGTTGTAGTGACAACATCATGATAATAATGCAAAAGTATCAAAATTCGAACCATATGCATTTAACAAACATTTAGTAAACTTATGTATTAAAACAAACCTCCAAGGTTTCAAAATAAAATTTAAAGCCATATATATGTCAACAAGTTTTTCATCCACAAAGCTATAAGATAAACAAGACATTGAAAGATAACTCAAGAAAGTGACCAGTTTCAACATTAACCTAAAAGATTAAAAAAATTATTCAAAATTAGCAAAACACTTGCGCATTCAAGAAGAATCCTGCTTCGAAATCTCAAATGTCTTCCCTTTACAATATATTGGGACAGTAAAAAAAGTCATATAAAAAAATCTAGAAACAATTATAAGAAATTAACAAATGCCATTAGTTCCATAATAGAAATTGCATAATAGAATGATAAGTGATAAACAGATTTGAACAAGCGAAAAACCTTCATAGAAGATCAAGTTTACATAATAATAGCAGTAGCAAACTCGCGACAAACATACGAACCATAATACACCCTTGCCAGCAGTCTGCGGAAGAGCCCAAGGCAGGGGACGAGGAGGAATTGGCCCAACCAGAGCAGCCCAAAGATGGCCCAAGAAGAGTCAGGAAAGCTGTGAGGTTATATTGATCGGCTGGGATCATTTTTTTTGGATTATCAATGAATTAACACAATTCTGGTGTTCCCTTTTCTATCTCTGTTCTTCTTGTTTTCCCCCTATTCTTGCTTTAAGGAGCTGGCACTCGCTCGAAAAGTGTGATTTACAATAATTCTTGTGCTTGTTACGGGCACAGTTGTATCATTTGGTGCTTTCATTGTGCTTCTTGATGGCGGATTCGGATGTCCTCACAGCGGTCAATGCCTTAAAAGCTCAATTCAAAGGCCAAACCATGTCTCTTCATCAAACTTTGCAACAGTACATACCCACAGTGGACACTCGCTTAGAGGAACTGTGCTCGTAGATTCAGGGTTCTCTGGAGGCGGCCGCTAGTGTTTCCGGCAAAGCGTCCAAGGTTCTGGCCTATTCGGATGTTTTCTCTGGCGGTACTGAGATATCCCCGGTATTGCGCTCCATGAAAATGGATGTTCTGAAGTTCAATGGTTCACATCCAAACGGCTGGATCTTCTGGATCGAAGAGTTATTTGATTTCCATGGCACGACCGATTACCTACATTTGTGGATTGTCTCTTTTCATATGGAAGGTAGAGTTGGTGCTTGGTATCAATGGATGAAGGCTAATCATTTGTTGATCACGTGGAAGGAGTTCTTGGTTAGTTTGCGGCATCGCTTTGGCGCTTCTATGTATGAGGATCATCAGGTAATCTTTCTATACTCACCCAAACTACTACTGTTGTTAATTTCCAGTCTGCTTTTGAGGATTTGATGAATAAGGTCACTGGCATTTCTGAGCCATTGTTGATTAGTTTTTTTTTTTATCACGGGGTTAAAATCGAAGATTCGTCGAGAGTTGTTGTTTTCCTGACCGGCATCCTTAATGGAAGCCTTCGCACTGGCTTGCGCTTATGAAGCTTACGCTGCAGAGACCAAACACAACCACGGCCCTTGGCCCAAATGGAACTACCCCACCACCTCATCTCCCTCTCAGACCACACCTAGTACCCAACCTTCCACTATATATCCTAAACACACAACTCCACCGGCCCCTCCGCCCGTGGCCTCTCCAACCCCATCACATTCCACCACTTCTTCCAAACCAGGTACCTTACCTCCTCTTTTACCCACCCTGAACCTTCCAGTGCTCCGATTGACCCCTGTTGAACTTCAGGAGAAACGAGAAAATTGTATGTGTTACAATTGTGATCAAAAGTATGATCTCAATCACGTTGTCGCAATAAGTATTTGATCTTACTTGGGATTGATAACTCGGAGGGTGAATCAGTGGACGAACCTTCTTCCCCTAAACAAACAGAAGAGGTTTTCTCGGTGGATATTTCTAGTTTGAATGCGTTAGCTGGTTAGGCTAATCCGCATTCTCTGCG